CTTGTAGCGTCATACCCAAGAAGACTTGAGGCTGTAATTGCTGCCAAAGGTGTTTCAACAAAGTACTGAGTAAAGGGTCTGAATACTTATGTAAATGTGATATTTCCGTTTTTTTAAATTTATTTTTATAAATGTGCAAACATTTCTAACAACCTGCTTTTGCTTTTTCATTATTGGGTATTGTGTGTAGATTAATGAGATTTTTGTTTTTTAAAATCCATTTTAGAATAAGGCTGTAAAAGTGAAGGGGTCTGAATACTTTCCGAATGCACTGTACACCTGTTGTATTCGGCGCATGTGACCAATCAGATTTGATTTGATAACGATGATAGTAATTGAAAGGGAACAGTTTGGAGATTATGTGAAAATTATTACACCAAAAGGTGAGGACACAACAGTTCACCTGACACAAGACTGAATCCAAACATTATACTGTTGATTTGATGTGCATTTTACATTTACTGTACGGGAAATCTGAAAATACTCTGGATACATTCAGTAACATGATAAGCATATTCCTGGAAAATGTGGGGTAGGTGCAACATAAGACAAAAATGACAAGGGTGTGCACAGTTCCTAAGTAATTTCAATGCACTTTTATGACTCAAAGAAGAGTCTTCAACTATAAGGTACTTTTTTTTAGCTCTCCTAGCTGTGCCGTTGAGAAACTAGAGCAAGCACACTTGTAGTTGGTTTGGTTGGAACAAAAACCTTCATCCCCGCAATCACACAATTACTGTTGTTGTTTACGCAATCTGAGTCAGGTGGGCATGATTTGAAGGCTTGTTCTAATGCCAACATGACTAGCTAAGTTATAAAATATGATATTACAGTGTTAGGCTTTCACAAGGCAATTCAGAGAAACAGATCGTAATTTTGGTGCGCATAGAAAGGAGTAATGAGTTCATTCAGGTGCTTGTGCCGCTGCAAATGTTCTTCACAATAGACAAACATAGGCTCATTCTGTTCAGAACAACCCAGGGTATGACGCCATGTCATCTTGTAACTGTACATCAAACATAGTGATCATGAACGTTGACCCTGTATATGACATGAGTTTTATGATCTGGACTCATCTTTCAAAGTACATAGAGTCCTCTTAATTTACAGCATTTCCCTCACACAGACAACAAAAAATTAGCTAAAGTTGCCCAATTAGCGGTAGTGTTGTCACTATACCAGTATCATGATACTTAGAAGTAAGGAAGCAAAGGAAACCAAACATGAAGCGGACAATTTTTTGTTGTTGTCCTAATGTTGGAAAACAACTGCCTTATGTTGTCACCCAGAGTCGCATTTGTTTATTTAACAAGCTATAACACACTATTTTACAAAAGTAGGTTTCAAAGGACCATAGAGTGAAGTCTGCTTCGTGTTTTTATTTTTGCCAAGGAAAATCTGGTATTATGACAACAGTAATTAGCAGGAGGGATGGGGGCAACTTCTTGTCCCACGAGGTGCTCAAGTTCAGAATGGCTGTCAGTCAAAACCCATACAGCGCTGTGAAGCGCAGAGACAGAGCTCTGATGTCATGGATAGAATGTTACTGTACAGCCACTGTGTTCCAATTTAGGCGTTTATCCGTTTATCCAAAACTGCCACTTTCAACCCATATACAGGTAGGAGTGTGAAAGGCTACGGTTGTGTTTAGGATTGGCTGGTGGACAATTGGCATTTCATGGTATGAGAGTAGGAATTGACCAGGAAAACACTAGTCTATAACTAGGGCCTGGAGTTGTTCTTGGTCAGGAAAACCTCCTGGCCTTATTTAAGTGGTCTATGAGGCTCTACTGAGGCTGAGGTGATTGGTGCTTAGCTGTTCCATTTTACGATATTCCATGGCAACAGCCACATCCCTCCCTTCCCCCTGTGTCTTGAGCGAGACATACAGACAGGTGGCAGACAGACAGATGTGGATCTGAGAAAGAGAGAGGGCAGATGAGACAGAGAGGGGTTTGAAAACTGGACCTTACTTAAAGCCTGTAACTCGGGCCCAGAGTATTTCTTGGTAAGGTAATTTGGCCAGGAAAACCTCCTGGGCCTACAGAAGGGGGTGTAAGACAGTTAAGGGTGGCATACATCGAACCGAATGTGGATCTCCCATTCGTCTACCGATCATTCAGTGCGCTTTTGACCTCTGACTGCCAACATTTTTTGTGCGATTCTACATGTAAAATCGGTTTGCACTCGGTTCGCAAAGTACTCTCAGCAGGCAACCACTATTGGTGTGTCCGAGCCCTTAGAGAGGAAGAGAGTACTAATCAGCCATGGTTTAGTGCTTCCTGTAAACTCTGGAGAGAGAGAGGAGGCCTACAGCTGTATGGGCTCCTTCTTTAGGGACCCTAACATCGACTCAAGTACACGTTTTGTCTCGCTCACTCCATCTTTCTCCCCCTTCTCTTTCTCTTTGTTTCTCTCTGTTTCTCTCAGACTCATTTGCTTTCTCACTCGTCAGTCGTCACACACTTTTCACAGATGTGCTTTTCCATCAATCCTAGAATGTATTTTCATATCCGTGTAACATTTCCAGTAATTCCCATGTACCTGACTGTAAAACCACCTGGGTCATTCCTCTCTCCTAAACTCACGTTTCCACTGACCCTGGCTGGCCAAACAGGGAAGTCACACACGTGCTTGAAGGACATGCGTTAAATGTGTGCTTTCTAGGCTCCTGTCAGAGAACCGGTGGGAATATCGCCTCCTGCACACACAGACGCCAAGACGCTCTCAGTCTCACTGTGCTGTACAGTTACAGTCCAACAGGCAAACGTCAAGACTGGCATTTAACATGGCTATACTAACTTTACTTTGACATTTGTAAGAGATACAAACTTCTCTGTGTGTTTTTAGCACATGGCCCCTCTCGCTAGCATTCCCAAAATCCGCCAGAGATCATCCTGGTATATCTGTAGTGTTACACATTGTCTGCGCCAGGATGTGAAATATTTGCCTTCTAGGAACCCATCAATGAGGACGGGTGTGTCAGGTGTCTTTTACTAGTCCAGTGCCATGTCGGAACATGGCCAGGAACAGTTTTACAGTGTGCTCGCTGGCAGGATGGCTCATAATAATTGCCAGAATGGAGCGAATGGAATGGCATCAAACACATGGAAACCATGTGTTTGATACCATTCCACCAATTCCGCTCCAGCCATTACCACGAGCCTGTCCTCCCCAATTAAGGTGGCACCAACCGCCTGTGCTTGCCAGCCTGTTGTTGTGTCAGACCTGACTCCTCTGACATGACCCCAAGGTGACCTCTAGGATCTAGCTACATACCAACCTGGTGCCAGCTGACGCTGTCAGAGGGTGACAAAAACACCACAACTTTCCATCGCTCACCATGTCACGTTTCACTTTGTCAGCACAAGTACTGCTCTAGGAAACAAAACATTGTGTAAAAATGTCCTCAAGTCTAGTGTTCCGTAAATTCCCAGAGATTCACTTATGCAAATAGCAAGTCTTGACTTGTTGAAACTAACATTAAGTTCCCCTTTGCTGAGCACTCATCAGTGCTGCAAGGTGTCTCTGTAATTACTACTAATAAGCACAATGATCATCACTTTTAATCAAGGAACACAGAGCAGAGAGAGAGAGAGAGAGTGAAAATAATGGGAACTTTGTGGGAAACTATTATGGTTAAATGGGAGAATGAATTTGGGAATCCATTATTTAAGTGATAATGCCCAAGACGCTGGTGTTTGGAGGACATATTTCGTCGAGGGCCGGCAAACCATGCCAATATTTCCTCCAAACGCCGGCTTCGAGGACATACAAACTTTTATAGAACTGGTTCCCTACATATTCAAATATTGATTGACATATTTTCATTAAAAATGTTACTTAATTTATTTGGATACATCCATAACAATGAGCTAATGAGGCGTGATTTCACCTGGTATAGAAAATGTGCTCACTCGTCAGGACACTGTTGTTCAGAGGAGCTAGCCAACAACACAGCAACAGTAACACAATCACTTCAAACTGAAGCTGGATAGACTGCAAACTAGCTGCACTTCATTTCGTTTTACCTTTTTTCAATTTACATTTCTTTGTAATATCCATAAAAATGATGCCACCTGATTAATGATTTCGACTGGCTGAGAAACGCTAACTGCCTGTCTGTCTCGTCCCGACTCCCGACACGTTCATTACTATGGGAGATCGAATTTGAATATTGAAACAATGTTGCAAATGTCGGAGAGACAGACAGCAAGGTTTATACAAATATCTGCTGTTGAAAACTAAATGTTAGTCTGAAAGAAATGTGAGATAATGTCTAGATAGTGGAGATCATGTTTATAAAGTGCCTGGCTGGGCTGATGAGACAGTGGATTGTGCAGTCAGATGGAACAGAGTAAATGGCATATTATTATTATTATTATTATTATAAATAGGCATTTTAACGTCATAGATATAGCCCGTGGTAACTTGTGGAATAGACACCGGCTGGAATGCGGTTTTAACCAATCAGCATTCAGAATTAGACCCACCCCATTGTATAATTCCAGAGAATGTACAGAGCATTGTCGTTAATCACATGGCTGATGGTTGGTTGAAAAGTAGAGAAAGTCTGTGCTGAGAATGGCCCAGCTCATGAACAGTACTCTTAATGAATGGCATTGTGTCTCAATTTTTTTGTTTGTAATTATGCTTCAATCGTTCTGCCTTTATGAAATGTCTATTATTAACTTGATTAAATGATAAGAAGTATTTTCAGTATGATAATACTTCCTTTGCCAAAGTGGTTCGGTAGATACTGTAGTAAACGTGTGCTGGGTTTATATTTTACTGAATAACTTTGTGCCCTCTGTTGGTGAGCTTGCATTACTGCACTCCTAATGCACTCAGTCAATACTTTCCTAATGCAGTGTGTCTGTTCTCATATTGTATCAGTGCGTATTGATTGTGGTCAAATTATCGATGTTTGAGACTGTTCATAAATGTATCCCTCTCTCTTTCTTCCTCATCCCCTGTTCCCCAACCCTTTCTCCCTCCAGCTACCCAACATGTTTGGCAGTCTGAGCTCCACCATCATGTCTCTGATGATTGGCTCCTACGCCTCCTCTGCCGTCACCTTCCCTGGAGTAAAGGTAAACATGATGATGTCATCAGAGATGGACGCACATTTGTTACCGTTGCCTCGTATCACTCATACAAATAGAATACATGTTCAGCCTTCATATGTTATGTGAAGAAGTCGTTGAAGTGTCCACAGTAAGCCTAAAATATTTATACTTTTCTCTACTAATAACACCCCATGTTCTCTCCCTCCCTCTCTAAGCTGATCTATGATGCAGGCGTGTCGTTCCGGGTGATCATGTGGGTGTGGTCGGGTCTAGCAGGCTTCGTCTTCCTCAACTGTTTCTTCAACTGGCCAGTGGAGGCCTTCCCCACTCCTGACGAGGTCAACTACAGGTCAGTACAACACTAAAACAACATTACTACAACGTCAGAGCACTGAGTAAAAAGGAATGGCTATTATAATATTATTATTCTAACACTTCCACAATGCTAGAACAATACAGATATGCGAAAACATGATCAGGTTACCATACTGAAATGCAACATAAGGATAAGCAAAGGAAATAAACAACTTTCTTTATTTTCCTCCTCAGTAAGAAAGTTAGAAGTTAGCGTCGAAGTGATGGTCTGGAAGACCATAGGGCGTGGGGGATGAGAAGAAGGAAGTGGGAGAGAGTTTGAATCGAAGAATGGAGACCCAAAAGGGAGGACCATGAAAAAACTCCACTGAGAGAAAACTCCAGCCGTAACACAAAGTGAGTCCAGAAACAAACACCTGAAAACAGAGAACGCGTGCTCCTGTTGCTAACAAACATATCCCCATATTTATTAAACTGTCTGCCCATTCTCTCAAAAGAACCATCCCCATATTGTTTAACTGTCCTGCACCATCTCCCTCTCACTGACAACCATCCCATATTAACGTTGCCCATCCTCGCTTATCAGGACACACAACGCCCCAGGGAGGAAAGGGGGAGGCACAGAGCGCGAGCGCCGCGAGGCGAGAGAGCGAGCGAGAGTTAGAGGGAGAGAGAAGGCGAGAGCGAAGAGAGAGAGAGCGCGAGCGCGCTCGCGAGCGCTAGCGCTAGGCGGAGCGGGTCGCGCGGTCTCGCTCATTCTCGCAGACACCCATCCCAGAGTAAACGGCGGCCCATCTCTCAGCTGCAGTCAGGAGGACCACCACAGCCCAGAGGAACTGTAGGGGCCCAGCGCGGCGCTCTCCAGAAACTACCCAGCCACAGAGAACTGTGATGCCCAGCTGTCGGCGCTTAGCGCATCTCGCTCAGACACAGCCCAGAGTTGAAATGTCGGACCCAAGAGCTCGTCTCGCCAGAACCACCAAGCCAAGTAGAAAGGTCGGACCAGCGCTAGCGAGATCGGATCTCGGATAAGGACACATCCAAGAGGAAATGTGGCCATAGATCTAGAGAGATGAGAGCGAGCGAGAGAGGCGAGAAGAGAGAGAAAGCGAGAGCGAAGACTTAAGACAACAATCCATATTAACTGTCTGCACAACGCTCTTTCTCGATCTCGCTCCTCTCCTTCTCTCTATCTACTATATCTCTCTCAGACACCACCCATAGTAACTGACGTCTGTCTGCCCATCTTCTATCTCTCTCTCTCTATAGAGCTAGAGTCGAGATTCTACTAGCCTATCGAGAGCAGGATCTGATTATCTCTCTCTCTCTTCTCTCTCTCTCTCTCTCTCAGAAACATCCCATTATTATAACTGTATGCGTCGATGCCAATGCGCTCTATTTTCTATATATGGATATCTCTCTCAGATATGATCTCTCGCGAGCGACCTGTCTCGATATCGCGTCTATATGAGATCTAGAGATACTGTAGTATCTATATATTCTCTAGCGAGCATCGCTCTCTTTTCAGGCTCAGCTCTCTCTCTCTATCTCAGAACATACTATTAAATGTGACAGGGAGGAGGATGAAAGAGAGGAGAGGAGCGCGAGAGAGGAAAGCGGATCTCTTCTCTCTCTCTCTCTCTCTCAGGACACCACCCCCATTTACAATGTCTCTCGCATCCGGACAAGGAGGAGCGCAGCGAGAGCGAGCTCGCTTTTCCTCTCTCTCGTATCGGCCTCTCGCGAGCAGAGGAACGGGCTACGCGGCCCAATTGTTCGCGCCGCGCCGTCGCTGCGCGCGCGGCGCGCCGCAGACCCACAAGTGCCCAGATGGAGAGGCAAGGGGCGTGAGAGGGGGGGGCCCAGCGAGCGCTGCGCGCGAGAGCGCGAGGGGCGCAGGACACAGAACAGGATTAAAACTGTCTGTCCCTCTTGTCTTCTTGCCCATCTCTCCTCTCTCTCTCTCTCTCTCTACCTCTTCTCTCTCTCTCTCAGACCAACCATCCAATTAACGCGTTATCTGCCACATCTCTCTCTTCTATCTTCTCTCTGCTCAGACACCATCCCATATTAACTGTCTTTACGGCCCAGCTCGCAGATCGGCGCGAGCAGACACAAGCCCATAGGAACGGGCAGAGCTCGAGGGGGGGCGAAGAGAGGCCAGAGCGAGGAGGAGCAGCGCAGAGAGCGAGTAGCGCGAGCCGCAGCGCGCCGCAGACGAAAGACCGACACCATCCATATTTAAATGGCTCTTGATCGGCCCCAGCTCTCTCGCCTCGCGCTCTCTGCAGGACACCATACCAGATTAACTGTACCTCTGGCCCAGCGAGAGGAGTCTCGCGCTCTCGCGCAGAAACACAGTCCCAGAGGTGGAACGGTGTCGACTCTTGATGGTTGGAGGCGTGTCGGCCGAAGGGCAGCGAGCGCGCGCGTCAGCGCGCTCGGAACAAACATTCCATAGTAATTAAAGGTATTGAACAGTCGGAGAGAGAGAGAAGAGAGATCTAGAACATCCCAATTTTAACTGTTGCTGACCCATCCGCTCTTCGCGCTCTCGCTCAGACACCCATACCATATGCATGTGAGTAACTGTTCATGCCCCATTTCGCTCTCGCTCTCTCTCCGACACCCATCCAGATAACTGTCTGCCCATCTCTCTCTCTCTGCCTCTCTATCTCTCTCTCCTTCTTCTCTCTCAGACACCATCCATCCCAATTAACTGTCTGCCATCCTCTCGCTCTCTATGCTCTCTATCTCTCTCTCTCCTCTCTCTATCTCTCTCCAACATAACTCGACTCATAACAAGCTCATTCATCTCATCCCCATATTAACTGTCTCTCCATCTCTCTCTTCTCTCTCTCGCCTCTCCCTCCTTCTCTCATCTCTCTCTCTCTCTCTCTCTCTCCCTCTCTCTCTCTCTCCTCTCTCTCTATCTCTCTCTCTCTCTCTCTCTCTCTCTCTCAGACACCATCCCATATTAACTGTTGGCCCAGTCTCTCTCTCTCTCTCTCTCGGTCTCTATCTCTCTCCTCGCTCTCAGACACCACACCATATTAATGTCTGCCCATCCTCTCACCTATCTCTCTCTTCTCTCTCTCTCTCTCTCTCTCTCATATTAACTGTCTGCCCCACATTCTCTCTCTCTCTCTCTCTCTCTCTCTCAGACACCATCCCTATTAATTGTCTGCCCATCTCTCTCTCTCTCTCTCTTCTCTTTCTCAGACACCATCCCATTATTAACTGTCTGCCACTATCTCTCTCTCTCTCTCTCTCTCTCTCTCTCTCTCTCTCTCTCAGACACCATCCCATATTAACTGTCTGCCCATCTCTCTCTCTCTCTCTCTCTCTCAGACACCATCCCATATTAACTGTCTGGCCCCATCTCTCTCTCTCTCTCTCTCAGACACCATCCATATTAACTGGTCTGCCCATCTCTCTCTCTCTCTCTCTCTCTCTCTCTCTCTCTCTCTCTCTCTCAGACACCATCCCATATTAACTGTCTGCCCATCTCTCTCGCTTCTCTCTCTCTCAGGACACCATCCCATATTAACTGTCTGCCCATCTCTCTCTCTCTCTCTCTCTCAGGCACACCATCCCATATTAACTGTCTGCCCATCTCTCTCTCTCTCTCTCTCTCTCTCTCTGACACCATCCCATATTAACTGTCTGCCCATCTCTCTCGCTCTCTCTCTCTCTCAGACACCATCCCATATTAACTGTCTGCCCATCTCTCTCGCTCTCTCTCTCAGACACCATCCCATATTAACTGTCTGCCCATCTCTCTCGCTCTCTCTCTCAGACACCATCCCATATTAACTGTCTGCCCATCTCTCTCTCTCTCTCTCTCAGACACCATCCCGCTCCGTAGGTCGGTGTTCTCGCCCATCTTCCTGTGGAGTCTGGTTACCATGGGGATGACCCAGCTCAGGATCATTTTCTATATGGGTGCCATGAACAAGATGCTGGAGTTCCTCGTCACCCACGGCAACCCTCACTGTGAGTAACTAACAAACCACACCAACTGACAAACCAGACCAAGACAGTCAACTGACCAACCAGACCATGACAGTCAACTGACAAACCAAACTAACTGATAGTCAACTGACAAACCAGACCATGACAGTCAACTGACAAACCAAATCAACTGACAGTCAACTGACAAACCAAATCAACAGACAGTCAACTGACAAACTAAATCAACTGACAGTCAACTGACAAACCAGACCATGACAGTCAGCTGACACACCAAATCAACTGACAGTCAACTGACAAACCAGACCATGACAGTCAGCTGACAAACCAAATCAACTGGCAGTCAACTGACAAACCAGACCATGACAGTCAACTGACAAACCAAATCAACTGACAGTCAACTGACAAACCAGACCATGACAGTCAGCTGACACACCAAATCAACTGACAGTCAACTGACAAACCAGACCATGACAGTCAACTGACAAACCAAATCAACTGACAGTCAACTGACAAACCAACACACTATCATGATTGGCCCCTATTCCCTCCATGTAAATGTGTTCTAATCAAGTTGACCTGTCCTTTCTTTCCTTAGCTTCTGAGTTGATTGTCGAGGCAGAGAAGAAAGGTGAGAAATGTCTCCTGGTGAAAGTGTGTGTCCTTGTCGTGTGTGTATGAGTGTGTGATGATCGTCCCATGTCCTCCATCACTTGATCTAAAGATATTATGAATAACCAGACACTGACAATGATTTACTGTGTATGAGAATCACTATTTATTGTAATAATGTGAGAGTTAGAGTTTGGAGCCGAAACATACTGTTGTGCGTCTCCCGGTAAAATTGTTCTCTTTCTTTCTTTCTTGTCATGTATGTACCGATCAGAAGTTCATAATGTGATCATGTTTAGCAAGTGAAACGTTAAGGTGAATCTTTAGAAATGTAAATGGTTACCTTGTTTTCCTCTGTGATTAAAGAGGGTTCTGTTCATTTCATGTTCAGAGAATTGATGGGCAATTGGGGTGCGTTCGAGTGCATGGTGTTCTTAAGGTTATTCACGTTATCATCCGAGGATGTGTATATCGAAATTCAAGTATCCTGATGTGAAATTGGTTCTCATTGGCTGTTGCATTTTGAGCATTTGTATTTAAGCACCTGCCACTTGTTTGTCGGACAGGGAACATGTTGGCATGCTGCTGGGTTATGTTTAAAGAGCGCGATTTGATCCAGTATTTTTTTCTTGTTAATACCTGTACGCCAGCTATTATTATCTTCACTTGCAAATAAAAAGCCTCACTCTGGGCAAGAACAATCAGTTCTGACTTGTTCCCTCCTCACTGTAAAATCCTACCGCTAGGTCTTTCTCACAGTGTCTAAATGTGTGTCTCTCTCCAGTGAGTTTCTACTCGTCCATCTTCGGCACCCTGCAGCTGCTCTGCCTGGTCACCTGTCCTCTGATTGGCTACATCATGGACTGGAGGATGAAGGAGTGTGTGGATGAGACCAGAAAAGACACAGAGACAGAGAAGAGGTGTGAGAAAGAGAGAGAGGGGGGCGGGGTGAGCTGAATGGAAGTAAGAGGTGAGGTGGATGTCTTATCTCATTGTCCCTGTCCAAACCCACACAGACCAGCAGACGGGCCAACTAGAGACAAAAAGATCCAGAAAATCACTAATGCCATGAGAGCCTTCATATTCACCAATCTGCTTCTGCTGTTGTTCGGAGTGTGCTGTCTGATAGACAACCTGCCGCTCCAGGTACACACACACACATTTTCGCTCGTTCGTTCGTTAACAAACACACACAAATGCACATACACCCTCCCCACATCCAAATGTCAACACACTCCTTCCCTCTCTCTGTAGATCCTGACCTTCATCCTCCACACCGTGGTCAGAGGGTTCATCCACTCCTGCTGTGGCGGCCTGTATGCTGCTGTGTAAGTACTCAACTTCCTCATCTTTACATACAGAAATTGACTTGAGAAATAATTGCCCATTCTCTCACAGGTACCCCTCTAACCAATTTGGAACTCTGATTGGGCTGCAGTCGATGATCAGTGCTGTGATCGCCCTGCTGCAGCAGCCCCTCTTCGTCGTCATGGTGGGATCCCTGCACGGAGACCCCTACTGGGTGAGACACACACACACGCTCAGTTTTCCAGTGCAGTTACCCATACTGTACAAGACTTTGTAACCCCTGACTTGTTGTCTAAATTCCCATATCTTTGTCCCCGCATCAGATCAACCTGGGCATGGTCCTCTTCTCATTGGCTGGCTTTTTGTTGCCTGTATACCTGTTCTACCATCGCAGACACCTGATCCAGGAGAAGGAGGCTCAGGACAAGAATGCCACTGGCCAGGAGAGAGAGGCTCTCAACCACTCAGAGACCAACGGCCTCAAACACCGTAGCAATGGTCACAGCATCCAGGAAGCATAGGAAGTGGTTCTGGAGCAATGCTAAGGATTTTGGGAACTGTAGGATTATTTGTGTCAATGTCCATGGTATCCACCAAATCAGTAACCACAATATCGTCACCAAGTAAACATTTTTTGTTGTTGCATTGTTAGCATTATTGCCGTTGCTGTTTTTGTTGCTTTAGGGCTTTATTCAATTGGTATCGCGGAAGTTCAGCGCTAAAGCCCAATCAAAATTTTATGGCAATGTTCCCGCGTTGGCGGAAACTGCATTCACGGTAAACACTGCATATGTCAGCTTAATCGGAAATGACCTTTACATTTGTATCGCTTCAGCGATGCAGATTGAATAGAGCCCTAAGCCATAGAACTTCGAACCATGATCAACTAACATTTCATGACTTTAAGTTAGATACTAGTCAATGGAGTTGCTTGAATTGGAATGTCTAGATAAGGATAAGTTGTCATCATTATTTTGTTCAGTTCAGAATATCCAAATCACATTTCACTGGTCACAAGCAGACAGACCCTCATATGGCGGTGTGGCTAAGCCAAGACTTCTATGGTACATGAAAAACCCTTCAGTGGCATGTTACTCCTTTAATATTACTCAATCCATGCTGACAAAGAAAACACAACACCAAAGAATGATATTCAGATATGAATTGTGCAGCTTCTACTGAAACAAAACAATGATAGTGTTTCTGTTTCTGTTAATCAAATACGCTGCGTGTCATAGACAAAATAGGTATCAAAATGACATGTAATAAAGTGTGAATAGCATAGTTATAAGGTCGTGATAGGTTGTACTATGACACTTGGGTGAAATCAGACATCCAGCCAGGAAGAATGCTACAATTTGTTATACCAAATATTATGCCATTGACGTTTGTATTACAATCATATTTTTCTCAGAACATTTATCTTAATATCGCATAAACAAACATACATACATACAGACACACACATGTGCATGTGCTGGCTCTTAAGCACTCTCTTTCACAGACTGGCTGACTGTAGAGACACTAACTACCTCTTCTATTCCCTTAACCGTCTCTCTACAACCAAGACCCATCTGTGTGAGTGTACTGTGTGTGTAGATTTGTCTTTTCATTGGTCAATTTATCACCCATTAACCATGTAATACGTCGATTTTTCATTTTTGGTACGATTATTTTTAATTTTCCAAACAATATAAAAATGTACAGACAAGACAGCGTAGATATTCTATGCATAGATTGTTTAAAGATTTATGAAGTAGAGCCAATTGGTCATTCTCCACTGAACTCTCATTTTAGGATTTTGTTTTTAAATAGGAAAACATGAAATGGTGTGACACTTCACATGACACCGAAAGGTGAGACCGATTTTCAAAAGTAGACACATACATTGGTAATGTATCCAATGTGTCTAATACTTTTACAGCTTTGTGACCAGGAATTAACTTGTGTGTGTAAAACAATATATATTTACTACATATACACTACCATTCAAAGGTTTGGGGTCACTTAGAAATGTCCTTGTTTTCAAAAGAAAAGCACTTTTTTTGTCCATTAAAATAACATCAAGTCGATCAGAAATACAGTGTAGACATTGTTAATGTTGTAAATGGCTATGGTAGCTGGAAATGGCTGATTTTTAATGGAATATCTACATAGGCATACAGAGGCCCATTATCAGCAACCATCAGTCCTGTGTTCCAATGGCACGTTGTGTTTGCTAATCCAAGTTTATCATTTTAAAAGGCTAATTGATCATTAGACAACCCTTTTACAATTATGTTAGCACAGCGGAAAACTGTTGTGCTGATTAAAGAAGCAATAAAACTGGCCTTCTTGAGACTAGTTGAGTATCTGGAGCATCAGCAATTGTGGGTTCGATTACAGGCTCAAAATGGCCAGAGACAAAGAACTTTCTTCTGAAACTCGTTAGTCTATTCTTGTTCTGAGAAATGAAGGCTATTCCATACGAGAAATTGCCAAGAAACTGAAGATCTCGTACAACACTGTGTAATACTCCCTTCACAGAACAGCACAAACTGTCTCTAACCAGAATAGAAAGAGGAGTGGGAGGCCCTGGTGCACAACTGAGCAAGAGCATCCCAGAGTCACCTCTTCACTGTTGACGTTGAGACTGGTGTTTTGCGGGTACTATTTAATGAAGCTGCCAGTTGAGGACCTTTGAGGCGTCTGTTTCTCAAACTAGACACTCTAATGTATTTGTCCTCTTACTCAGTTGTGCACCTGTGTGAATCAAGAATGGTCCACCACCCAAAGGACATCCAGCCAACTTGACACAACTGTGGGAAGCATTGGAGTCAACATGGGCCAGCATCCCTGTGGAATGCTTGCGACACCTTGTAGATTCCATGCCCTGACGAATTGAGGCTGTTCGGAGGGAAAAAGGGGGCAGTGCAACTCAATTTTAGGAAGGTGTTCCCAAGGACAAGGTTTTTTTCTCTTATGCAAATGCTTCTGGTGTAATGCTCCACTGTACATAGACGTCACCAAAGAGATGTGTAACAACACTGTCTTTAATGTTAAAAGTCACTTTAAATTTCTCTATATAAATAGTCTGATGCTTTTCTATTATGCAACTGTTAATGATGTGAATCATTACTATATTATGACGAAATATGTTGGTTTTTGTACCTGACCTCACTGCCATAGAATTGAATGTAAAACCACAGCGACAGACAGTACCAAACATCACCTGGGAAACCAAAGCCATGTTGAGGGTGGCTACAACATAGAAAAATAATGTGTGAGCCATTCCAGTCATTCTATTTCTATGGGCTGCAAAGCCATATGAAATAGATAGGTTATTTTATGTTTAAAGTGTACAGCACTTTTCCTCAGGGGCATGGGGCATGTCGCTAATATGCCATAATTATGAAATGTATTGTATCCCCTCCCTATCTCGCTCCTTTTATAGCTTTGTTGTGTCGGAAGTGATATGCAATTTTTTTGTGCCATGTCTCATTTGGGGACTAAAGCCAGCTTTAAGTCTGATCAAATAAATAATAAACAAATATGTAGGAAACTGTCCTGTGACTGTGTGCTTTGATATTCCTGACAATCTTCCAAGTTAGTACTTGGCAGAATAGTCATATATAAATTCAATGTTGAATGGATGTTTTCAGATTGTAAACACATGCCGCTGCATATTCCTGACTACGACTTTGCTAGTCACACTTTAGCTGGATGAGACCATATGCCCAAGACTGAAACAACAGGTCACCAAAGGCAACATTTCAGGCATAGAGGAGAAGCCCATACAACAGAAAGAGGAGCAACTCAGCATGAACAATAATAACCAAAGTTTATTGGAATATAATGTGTGGTTAGAGAATATCCCAACCAAATGAAAAAGGGACACTCATCATTTACACTCAGTCAGAACATCACAGTGACCTTATGTCTGTCATCCTGTAACAACATTACTCTCCAATGCTCACATCCAATCTGCCACCCACACACTTGACCTTTCTCACGAACTCACATCCTGTACAAACAGACATTTTTTCTTTCCCTCTCTCACATGCATAATCTCTCGTATCTGCATACATTCTCACAAACATTTCCTGATTCTCTTCAAACACACTCACACGCTGCTCCTCCCTCTCACACACACGGTGTCTGCCTGGTCTATCGGAGGCTGTTGCTGTTGGGCTGAGAGCCAGCCAAGCCAGGGTGGTCCGGACTGTGGCGGTTCTGCAAGAAGAGGCACAAACAATATAGAAAAAGTCCCAACCCATAGACATTGGCTTCATCTTCTAAATCAATCACCTCTCTCCTAACCCCTTACCGCCGTCTTGTGTACCACTGTTTTTATTCCCCCTGTATGCACTCGTTTGATGCAACATGGAGATTTAAGCCATTTTTCAGCAGATTTGTCCCTTCTGTCGTTTATATTGGTATAGTTCGTTTTCCCCACAAGTGTGACACACGTTGACCACACAGATTTAGATGTATAGCCAGCAAAGTGAGCTAGCTCAAAAGGTAGCTGGCCTCCATTTAGTTTCTGATGTATGATTTTAATAGCACACCACATTTTCTGAGCCACGGCTTGCAGTCGTGTGATTTTCTAAGATCAAATAATGACAAATACAGTGGGGAGAACAAGTATTTGATACACTGCCGATTTTGCAGGTTTTCCTACTTACAAAGCATGTAGAGGTCTGTAATTTTTATCATAGGTACACTTCAACTGTGAGAGACGGAATCAAAAACAAAAATCCAGAATATCACACTATGATTTTTAAGTAATTAATTTGCATTTTATTGCATGACATAAGTATTTGATACATCAGAAAAGCAGAACTTAATATTTGGTACAGAAACCTTTGTTTGCAATTACAGAGATCATACGTTTCCTGTAGGTCTAGACCAGGTTTGCACACACTGCAGCAGGGATTTTGGCCCACTCCTCCATACAGACCTTCTCCAGATCCTTCAGGTTTTGGGGCTGTCGCTGGGCAATACGGACTTTCAGCTCCCTCCAAAGATGTTCTATTGGGTTCAGGTCTGGAGACTGGCTAGGCCACTCCAGGACCTTGAGATGCTTCTTACGGAGCCACTCCTTAGTTGCCCTGGCTGTGTGTTTCGGGTTGTTGTCATGCTGGAAGACCCAGCCACGACCCATCTTCAATGCTCTTACTGAGGGAAGGAGGTTGTTGGCCAAGATCTCGCGATACATGGCCCCATCCATCCTCCCCTCAATACAGTGCCGTCGTCCTGTCCCCTTTGCAGAAAAGCATCCCCAAAGAATGATGTTTCCACCTCCATGCTTCACGGTTGGGATGGTGTTCTTGGGGTTGTACTCATCCTTCTTCTTCCTCCAAACACGGCGAGTGGAGTTTAGACCAAAAAGCTCTATTTTTGTCTCATCAGACCACATGACCTTCTCCCATTCCTCCTCTGGATCATCCAGATGGTCATTGGCAAACTTCAGACGGGCCTGGACATGCGCTGGCTTGAGCAGGGGGACCTTGCGTGCGCTGCAGGATTTTAATCCATGATGGCGTAGTGTGTTACTAATGGTTTTCTTTGAGACTGTGGTCCCAGCTCTCTTCAGGTCATTGACCAGGTCCTGCCGTGTAGTTCTGGGCTGATCCCTCACCTTCCTCATGATCATTGATGCCCCACGAGGTGAGATCTTGCATGGAGCCCCAGACCGAGGGTGATTGACCGTCATCTTGAACTTCTTCCATTTTCTAATAATTGCGCCAACAGTTGTTGCCTTCTCACCAAGCTGCTTGCCTATTGTCCTGTAGCCCATCCCAGCCTTGTGCAGGTCTACAATTGTATCTCTGATGTCCTTACACAGCTCTCTGGTCTTGGCCATTGTGGAGAGGTTGGAGTCTGTTTGATTGAGTGTGTGGACAGGTGTCTTTTATACAGGTAACGAGTTCAAACAGGTGCAGTTAATACAGGTAATGAGTGGAGAACAGGAGGGCTTCTTAAAGAAAAACTAACAGGTCTGTGAGAGCCGGAATTCTTACTGGTTGGTAGGTGATCAAATACTTATGTCATGCAATAAAATGCAAATTAATTACTTAAAAATCATACAATGTGATTTTCTGGATTTCTGTTTTAGATTCCGTCTCTCACAGTTAAAGTGTACCTATGATAAAAAGTACAGACCTCTACATGCTTTGTAAGTAGGAAAACCTGCAAAATCGGCAGTGTATCAAATACTTGTTCTCCCCACTGTATATATTTTGATTTAGTCACTCCCACATTTGAGTCTTGTTTTTCCAGGCTCCACGCAATTAACCCGGGGGCGAGGTTAGGGGCCTCCTATATCCAAATGTCAGTGCAAGAGGTGGAGAGAGGGTCAGGACAGTAGTCTTACCTTCTTCTTTTTCTTGTCCTTCTTTTTCTTCTTGCGGTCGGGGTCGTCATCCCTCTTTTTCTTCTTCTTCTTGGGGTCAGAGTCTGAGGGGGTTTCTGTAAAAACACAAGGAAGGGTTTCAAAGGATGTTGGATGGTGGTGTACAGTGCCTTGCGAAAGTATTCACCCCCCTTGGCATTTTTACTATTTTGTTGCCTTACAACCTGGAGTTTAAATGGATTTTTGGGGGGGTTGTATAATTTGATTTACACATTCCTACCACTTTGAAGATGCAACATATTTTTTTTGTGAAACAAACAAGAAATAAGACAAGAAAACTGCATAACTATTCACCCCCCCAAAGTCAATACTTTGTAGAGCCACCTTATACAGCAATTACAGCTGCAAGTCTCTCGGGGTATGTCTCTATAAGCTTGGCACATTTTAAGGCAAAACTGCTCCAGCTCCTTCAAGTTGGATGGGTTCCGCTGGTGTCCAGCAATCTTTAAGTCATACCACATATTCTCAATTGGATTGAGGTCTGGGCTTTGACTAGGCCATTCAAAGACATTTAAATGTTTCCTCCTAAACCACTCAAGTGTTGCTTTAGCAGTATGCTTAGGGTCATTGTCCTGCTGGAAGGTGAACCTCCGTCCCAGTCTGAAATCTCTGGAAGACTGAAACAGGTTTCCCTTAAGAATTTCCCTGTATCCATCATTCCTTCAATTCTGACCAGTTTCCCAGTCCCTGCTGATGAAAAACATCCCCACAGCATGATGTTGCCACCATCATGCTTCACTGTGGGGATGGTGTTCTCGGGGTGATGAGAGGTGTTGGGTTTGCGGCAGACATAGCGTTTTCCTGGATGGCCAAAAAGCTCAATTTTAGTCTCATCTGACCAGAGTACCTTCTTCCATATGTTTCGGGAGTCTCCCACATGGCTTTTGGTGAACACCAAACGTACTTGCTTATTCTTTTCTTTAAGCAATGGCTTTTTTTATGGCCACTCTTCCGTAAAGCCCAGCTCTGTGGAGCGTACGGCTTAAAGTGGTCCTATGGACAGATACTCCAATCTCCGCTGTGGAGCTTTGCAGCTCCTTCAGGGTTATTTACATTTTAGTCATTTAGCAGATGCTCTTATCCAGAGCGACTTACAGTTAGTGAGTGCATACATTTTTCAGACTTTGGTCTCTTTGTTGCCTCTCTGATTAATGCCCTCCTTGCCTGGTCCGTGAGTTTTGGTGGGCGGCCCTCTCTTGGCAGGTTTGTTGTGGTGCCATATTCTTTCCATTTTATAATAATGGATTTAATGGTGCTCTGTGGGATGTTCAAAGTTTCTGATATTTTTTAAATAACCCAACCCTGATCTGTGCTTCTCCACAACTTTGTCCCTGACCTGTTTGGAGAGCTCCTTGGTCTTCATGGTGCCGCTTGCTTGGTGGTGCCCCTTGCTTAGTGGTGTTGCAGACTCTGGGGCCTTTCAGAACAGGTGTATATATACTGAGATCATGTGACAGATCATGTGACACTTAAATAAAGTCCACCTGTGTGCAATCTAACTAATTATGTGACTTCTGAAGGTAATTGGTTGCACCAGATCTTATTTAGGGGCTTCATAGCAAAGGGGGTGAATACATATGCATGCACCACTTTTCCGTTATTTATTTTTTAGAATTTTTGAAATAAGTTATTTTTTTCATTTCACTTCACCAATTTGGACTATTTTGTGTATGTCCATTACATGACATCCAAATAAAAATCAATTTAAATTACAGGTTGTAATGCAACAAAATAGGAAAAAAGCCAAGGGGGATGAATACTTTTTCAAGGCACTGTATCTGTATCTGTGTGTGTGTGTGTGTGTGTGTGTGTGTGTGTGTGTGTGTGTTACCTTGCGGTATGGGATCCTGTGGTCGGTGGTGTTTGTGCTTGTTTTTGCTCTTCTTCTTTGGGGGCTGGATGTGCATCAGTCTGTACTGCTCTGGTAGCTAGACCACAAACACACAGAGAGTATATATCATCTTCACATCTTCGTTAGCAGTACAGACATTTTACGGCCTAATGTTGATTAATAAAGTTCCCTAGAATGTGTGAGCATTGTGGTCAAAGAAAGGTGTGTGAGTGCAGGGTTGGGTAGGTTACTTTCTAAATGTAATCCATTCCAATTACATGTCCAAATTTGTAATCAGTAATGTAACTTTTGGATTACCTAAACTCAGTAATGTAATCAGATTACTTGTAGTTACTTTTTGATTACTTTTCCCTTAAGAGGTATTCGAAAAATACAAAAAGGATCCTTCAAACGCATTTGGTGTTTCATCATAGTGGTATCTGACTTGTGGCCAGACTCACTCAGGCGGAACAAACTTAAACTTGCGTATTTTTTCAATGATGAATTGAATATGTCTGAGAAAACAGAAAGGTGTGAAAGTATTTTTTCGCAAACATCCTTTCTGAATGTAAAAGTAGTCCAAGAAGTAATTTAGTTTCTCAAAAGTATCTGTAATACACTGCTCAAAAAAATAAAGGGAACACTAAAATAATACATCCTAGATCTGAATGAATGAAATAATCTTATTAAATACTTTTTTCTTTACATAGTTGAATGTGCTGACAACAAAATCACACAAAAATTATCAATGGAAATCAAATGTATCAACCCATGGAGGTCTGGATTTGGAGTCACCCTCAAAATTAAAGTGGAAAACCACACTACAGGCTGATCCAACTTTGATGTAATGTCCTTAAAACAAGTCAAAATGAGGCTCAGTAGTGTGTGTGGCCTCCATGTGCCTGTATGACCTCCCTACAACACCTGGGCATGCTCCTGATGAGGTGGCGGATGGTCTCCTGAGGGATCTCCTCCCAGACCTGGACTAAAGCATCCGCCAACTCCTGGACAGTCTGTGGTGCAACGTGGCGTTGGTGGATGGAGTGAGACATGATGTCCCAGATGTGCTCAATTGGATTCAGGTCTGGGGAACGGGCGGGCCAGTCCATAGCATCAATGCCTTCCTCTTGCAGGAACTGCTGACACACTCCAGCCACATGAGGTCTAGCATTGTCTTGCATTAGGAGGAACCCATGGCCAACCGCACCAGCATATGGTCTCACAAGGGGTCTGAGGAGCTCATCTCGGTACCTAATGGCAGTCAGGCTACCTCTGGCGAGCACATGGAGGGCTGTGCGGCCCCCCAAAGAAATGCCACCCCACACCATGACTGACCCACCGCCAAACCGGTCATGCTGGAGGATGTTGCAGGCAGCAGAACGTTCTCCACGGCGTCTCCAGACTCTGTCACGTCTGTCACATGTGCTCAGTGTGAATCTGCTTTCATCTGTGAAGAGCACAGGGTGCCAGTGGCGAATTTGCCAATCTTGGTGTTCTCTGGCAAATGCCAAACGTCCTGCACGGTGTTGGGCTGTAAGCACAACCCCCACCTGTGGACGTCGGCCCTCATACCACCCTCATGGAGTCTGTTTCTGACCGTTTGAGCAGACACATGCACATTTGTGGCCTGCTGGAGGTCATTTTGCAGGGCTCTGGCAGTGCTCCTCCTGCTCCTCCTTGCACAAAGGCGGAGGTAGCAGTCCTGCTGCTGGGTTGTTGCCCTCCTACGGCCTCCTCCACGTCTCCTGATGTACTGGCCTGTCTCCTGGTAGCGCCTCCATGCTCTGGACACTATGCTGACAGACACAGCAAACCTTCTTGCCACAGCTCGCATTGATGTGGCATCCTGGATGAGCTGCACTACCTGAGCCACTTGTGTGGGTTGTAGACTCCGTCTCATGCTACCACTAGAGTGAAAGCACCGCCAGCATTCAAAAGTGACCAAAACATCAGCCCGGAAGCATAGTAACTGAGAAGTGGTCTGTGGTCACCACCTGCAAAACCAGTCCTTTATTGGGGGTGTCTTGCTAATTGCCTATAATTTCCACCTGTTGTCTATTCCATTTGCACAACAGCATGTGAAATGTATTGTCAATCAGTGTAGCTTCCTAAGTGGACAGTTTGATTTCACAGAAGTGTGATTGACTTGGAGTTACATTGTGTTGTTTAAGTGTTCCCTTTATTTTTTTTAGCAGTGTATTATAAAAATGGTTTGCCTAGTAACGTAACAGATTACGGTTTGTTTTTATGTAATCAGTTACTCCCTGTGTGTGTGTGTGTGTGTGATTACAGGTCCGGTGTGCAGTCTGAAGCCGGTGAGGCTGGCTCCGGTCAGAGGGCTGAAGGAGTTGCCACACACTGGAGGCTTCTCTATCAGAGAGCGCAACGAACTGCCATCCTGGGTACCAGGACAGTCTATCATACCTAGAGAAAAACAAAACAACCAAAAAAGTTATATTTTCACACACTGGATAGGTGCAGTGAAATGTATTGTTTTACAGGGTCAGCTATAGTAGTACGGCACCCCTTGAGCAAATTAGGGTTAAATGCTTTGTTCAAGGGCACATCGGCAGATTTTACGGGTATTTGAACCAGCAACCTTTCAGTTACTGGCCCAATGCTCTAACCACTAGGCTAATATAGAGGCGAAAGAAACGCACACCTATTTAGACGAGGTGCTGGCTAACGAAGTAAAACACTTGGAAAAGAAAAGGAAAGCCGCACACTCTAGGAGCTCAGATGCAATAATTTAATATCCTAATAACCAACATTTCGACAGACAAGCTGTCTTCATCAGGGTATAATGACAAACACTGCGGGTCACTAGTTTATATAGTGTCAAAGGACACACGCAGGTGTCTGTAATCATGGCTGGGTGTGGCCTAATAGCATTGATTAATTCACAGATAAACAGAACATCCAAAAAACATGGATAGCATACGATCATAGATACAACTTGGCTACATAGGCCCACAAACATTTACAATGAATAGCAAAATCACAATAATCACAAGAATGGCTTCAAATCAAAGTCTACGTTGAGACCGAAGGGAGCAAGGGTCTTTAAATTAAAGATCCAGGCAGCCTCTTGTTTTAACAATAAGTTGTCGAGGTCACCCCCTCTCCTAGGGAGGGTGACATGTTTGATGCCGATATAACGTAGGGACGAAATCGAGTGGTTTGCTTCCAAAAAGTGGGCAGCGACTGGGTATGTCGAGTTTTTGCACCTAATGGTGCTACGATGCTCCGAGATTCTTACTTTTAATTCGCACTTTGTTTTACCCACATAATGTTTACCACAAGGACAAGTTATAAGATAAATAACTGCCTTAGTGGAGCACGTAATAACACCTTTGATTGGGATCTGTTTCCCTGTTTGGGGGTGTTTAAAGGATCTACATGTGTAAGTGCCATTGCATTGAGTGCAGCCGTTACACTTGTAGTTTCCATCCAGTAGAGGCGCAAATAGACGTTGTGCAGGGATATTTAGGGGTGGTAAATCCAAATTTACCAATTGATCTCTGAGGTTTCTGCCCCGCGAGAATACAACCAATGGAGGGTCTGAAAACACATTACCAATACTGTCATCGGATCTTAGAATGTGCCAATGTTTGTGAACGATTCCCTTAATTTGTTCAGAGCACTTTGAATAGCGTGTAGTTAGAACGCAAGAATGATTATTTTTGCGAGACTGTCCCTGAAAGAGGTCAAGTATCGATTTGTTTTGAATTTTCTCAATGGCAGTTTTAATCTGACAATTTTTGTAGCCCCTCTCCTTGAATTTTCTTTGCATCACAGCCATATTTCGGTCGAAATCTGTAAAGATCAGTGTATAGAACATTATCCTCACACAAAATCAGAAGATCAAGGAAACTGATTTGACGTGTGTCAGATTGCATAGTAAATCTGGTGCTCAGAACAAGAGTTAGGAAAAGCACGGAACGCCTGGAGCAGTTTTAAATCACCCCTCCATAGAACAAAAATATCATCAATGTACCGTTTCCACTAGGCTACCTGCCGCACAGAAGAGAAGTGAAAACGGAGACACTGATTACACAGAGACAGAGGAGAGATGGAGAAGAGGCGAGTGAGTGAGGTGTGGGGATACTCAGCCGGGCGGGTCAGACACACACACAAACACACACACAGTAAACAGAGTAACTGTGCTGAGTGTGTATTTCACCTGGTAACTCTGGCAGGAAGTTGCTGAGCTTCTCCTTGACCTTCTTGCCACAGAACTTGTTGTAGGCGTGTTCCAGGTTGTAATGGGTGATGAGGTTGGTGTTGCCCGTCAGCTCATTGCCCACTGAGGGGCAAACACAAAGGAAAGGACACTGTCAATACAGTAACAAGATCCAGAGTAGTCCATACAGAGGTCAATGTCCCATACAACGGTCCAGAGTGAGTAACTTGTTATGGCACACATACACAAAAATGTATGCACGCATGACTGTAAGTCGCTTTGGATAAAAGCGTCTGCTAAATGGCATATTATATTATTATATAAATTAATATACTACCCACTGGGCTAACTAGCCAGTAACCAGCTAGCTCTAGAGCAAGGTTTCCCAAACTCGGTCCTGGAGCGCGCCCCCCTGTAAACCCAGTTTACAGCCTGCCCCCCTTTACACGTCATTACCGTCTATTGAATGGACTAGTAACCAGCTAGCGCACAGGTTAGATAATGTTATTGGAAAACATCATAAGGAACTAGCGAATAATAATCCTCCACTCAAGTATGAATAAACATATTACGTACTGCCTACACTGAAATGTTAACTTTACCTGGTAGTTCTCGCAGTAAATAAAAAGGTTCGTTCATGGCTCCCGGCTTCCGTAGAGCAGGCCCCTCATCCCCGTGCTGAGGTGGCATCTGAGCCGCCATCGTGACTTGGTTTGGCGGCAGAGGCTTTCCCAGTCCGAATCCCAGAGACGATGATCCGGGAGGTCCCTGAGCTTCATTTTGACCATACAGAGTTGAAAACATTTCCGTCATGTCTATCGCGAGTATGTCATATATTTAATAATAAAAAAGACATCGATTTCCTCGCCTATACGTTTAGTTTTGTACACATATAGCAACGATTGTATGACAACAGCTTGACTCGTCTCGACTTCTTTGTGGCATATTCGCCATCGGCGAAGTACCGTAATACCAGCAATATATTGGCTGGATAAATTGTACTGACAATGGCATCCGCTATAAAAGTGTGCGTTTCAAAAGTTAATATTGTATACTTGAATGATGTACTGTAGCTACTAAATGAAGGCAAATGTGTTTTTAGTGTTGCGTTTTTTTATTTGTAGTTTATTTAATAAAAAAATGCGCAAAGCACAGACTCGGGAATAAAAGAGAACTGGTATACTCATTACAAAAATGCACAGTTAACACGTCAGGGTGAGAGTTATGGTTCAAATTGGACAAATCCATTCTGCTTTAGAACAGTTGATTACTCAGGGTCAGGGGTCAAACATCAAAGGTCGCAGGGGGGTAGAGGGAGGAAGAGAGCGCTTGGAACTCGCCAACAGATGTCTGTGCAGGTGCCTAGAGATGCAGTAAGAAAGAGAAAGAAACAGTGAAAACACAATATTGCTAAACCAAAGCCAAAAATGACACTGACTCATTCATTCATTCCATATATATAGCTCAGAGGATCTGTGCCCCCAATGCAGTGATTCTCCATCTCTATCTTGCTCACCTTCCACTCGTCCACAGCTGTTGCAATGCGCTGTTCGGTCTGAGTGATGCCCTCCCTGCCCGCCAGCACCCTCTGAGCCAGCACAGCGTTCTCCTCCAGAATCTTCTTCAGCTCCCTCCGCAGGTACGCCTCCTGCTTCAGGTAGTATGGCATCACAAAACTACAAAGGTCCTGCTCAGGCACTCCACTGGGACGCCTGGGGGACATGAGGAGGAGTAGGGTGAACAGAAGTGCCACTGGACACTGATCTAAGGTCCGATTTTACAAGGTGAACACACATAAATTAATGTAATGGCATACAGGACAATCCAAGATGGAGGAAGACACTGGGCACGGCAGCATACAGACACAAACAAAGAGGCCAACATCCTCTTTGGTGGCAGACAGTGACTAACCATGCAGTGTCTTGGCTGTTCTTAGCAGCTTCTTCTAGCTTGTTCAGCTCATCCAGTTTGCACTGTAGCTCCCCCTCTTCGATCAGTTTATTAATGTCATCCTGTATACGTGCCACACATACACACACAGTCAGAAATGTCAAAAGTCTAACATTCCCTCATATGAAGTGTACTTAAGGGATGGTGACCAACCTGTATAGTCCTCTGTAGGTCTTCTATGAACTGCTTGTGGATGTTCTCTGTCACCTGTGGGTTCTTCTTGTAGAACGGATGGAACGTGTGGGCAAATCTGTGAAAACTGACGACAGATTCAGACAAATTTAGCTGTCTAGTTTCCCAAGGGTGCAACATTGTTCAGCTCAACGTAATATATAGCCAAATGTATCATTCACAAGCTACTTACCTTGCATCGGATATAAACTTCTGTAGGCTCTTCTCCATTACTTTGTTGAACAGCAGTAGCCTGTTCCTCCGGGGTTCGGCTCCGTCTGACCGGTGAGAATCATTTCCACGACCCGACGACTGAGACGAAACATCTCCTGTTGCATTATTAGACTGACCCTCTACGTTATCTTCTGAACTTTTAGCACCTTTGTGGCAAATTTCCTCCTGAGTTGTTTCCTCCATGACTAACTTTGTTTATTTATTTTTTACGGTACCCGCCAAAGCCCTAGAAACCTGCAAGAAACGCCCGTCTACGGAACGTCAACATGTACAAAAAGTTGTTTTGCTTTGTCCGTGTACGCATGCGCAGACAGGTGTCATACGTCACGTTCATTCACGTTGCGCAATCTTTGGTTGAGTTTTTGCTGCTTCAGCTGTCACTTTCCTTAAACCCCTTTCTTTCTCTTCTCTCTGTTGCATGCTTCGGGAACATGGGGTTCATCACCGGAGTTATTGCTTTCTTTTACCACTTACCTCAAATGGACATCAATCTTGTCTATATTGATGTCCACTGCGTTCCTCATACTTAAGAAGTGTCCGGGACTTTGCGAAAACCTGAACACTGAACGGGAGGACCGGAACCCATGCGACTTTGACTGGGTCAGTATCAGGGTAGTGTTGCAGCGCTGTTGCGCTAAATCTTCTGGGGTGTGTTGTTACTGTAAATATGTATTTTACAATACTTGTGGGGCCTGTCTTACAGAGAGAAGTGGAGATTGTAACGGCACTGTTTATTTCGTTCACTCGTCCTAACATAGGGCGGCACACAATTGGCCCAGCGTCGTCTGGGTTTGGCCGGTGTAGGCCGTCATTGTAAATAAGAATTTGTTCTTAACTGACTTTTCTAGTTAAATAAAGGTAAAATAAAAAAAATAAAAAAACCTTTTCTATCCTTGAGTTTTATTATTGCTCTTGCTCTACTCCTCCCCGTTGTCTCCCTCCCCCCTCCCCCCTCTCTCTCTGTTTGTCTGTCATGAACCCTAACCTTTCTCCCGTTCTCCAGTCACCATAGAGCAGCATGCAGGGAACCTGTTTATGTTCATTAAGGTGGCCAACGTCATCCTCTTCTTCAGGCTGGACATCAGACTGGGCATCCTCTACTTCCTACTGTGTATTGGTGAGCTGACATACTGTCATACTACCCTTAATGTCACTGCTATCAGTTATTATGCATTATAACTAGTGACCAGAGGAAGTTGTTGGACTCCTTGTTAAGACAAGACAATGCATACTTCAGGGTTTGAGTTGGACTTTGACTTTGTTAGTCGAAACCAACCAGTGTGTATATGCTCTGTGAGTGATTTTGGCAGCATGGGTTAGGAGTTAGGGTTAGTACCAAGTATACTGAACAAAAATATAAACGCAACAATTTCTAAGATTTTACTGAGGTACAGTTCATATAAGGAAATCAGTCAATTGAAATAAATTAGGCCCAAATCTATGGATTTCACATGACTGGGCAGGGGTGCAGCTATGGGTGGGCCTTGGAGGGCATAGGCCCACCCACTGGGGAGCCAGGCCCAGCCAATCAGAATGAGTTTTACCCCACAAGGCCCACCCATGGTTACACGTGATCTGCGGTTGTGAGGCCGATTGGACGTACTGCCAAATTCTCTAAAACGACGTTGGAGGCAGCTTATGGTAGAGAAATTAAAGTTACAGTCTCTGGCAACAGCTCTGGTGGACATTCCTGCAGTCAGCATGCCAATTGCACGCTCCCTCAAAACTTGAGACATCTGTGGCATTGTGTTGTGTGACAAAACTGCACATTTTAAAGTGGCCTTTTGTTGTCCCCAGCACAAGGTGCACCTATGTAATGATCATGCTGTTTAATCAGCTTCTTGATATGCCACGCCTGTCGGGTGGATGGATTATATTGGCAAAGGAGAAATACTCACTAACAGCGATGTAAACAAATTTGTGCAAAACATTTGAGAGAAATACGCTTTTTGTGCGTATGGAAAGTTTCAGGGATTTTTTATTTCAGTTCATGAAACCAACACTTTACATGTTGCATTTATATTTTTGTTCAGTATCTATTCTGCAGTATCATATACCAAGAATGTTGCTGTTTCCTATCCTATCCCAGCATTCGTCATGACCTGCAAACCACCACTCTACATGGGCCCAGAGTACATCAAGTACTTCAGTGAAAAAACCATAGACGTAAGTGTGGTGATCCAAGCCTTGAGACATGACAGCCATGAGTGTGAAGATTAGACACCATACTGTAGACTGTTGATCCTAGTTAGCTGACTGTCATAACCATATTACTGACTGTAAGTGAGCATTAGATGTTATTTATTTACAACAGGCTAAGTGTTAGTAATCCATGTTCTACTGCTCTAGTAACCCTGCCTGCCAGGCTAATGATGGTACTTTTAGTAGCAAAAGACACCCACCTGGGAACCAGACTACTGTTCCAGTGATCTATTTAGGTAATCTAATGTAATCTGGTCTAATCCCATTGGACAGGAAGAGCTGAATCATGATACTCGCGTGACGTGGGTCGTTGAGTTCTATGCTAACTGGGCTCCTGAGTGTCAGTCCTTCGCCCCAGTCTTTGTCGACCTCTCCCTCAAGTTAGTATTCTCCCTCTCCATTTTATCTGTGTACATTTACCCCCTCCTCTACTCTTATCCCAGTGAAACACACGTCTCTAATGTTGTTGTGTTAACTAAACATGGCTGTCTCCTGTTCTCCTCCTTGGTTTTGCAGGTATAACTGTACTGGACTGCGGTTTGGGAAGATGGAAGCTGGCCAGTACGGAGAGGTGGCTCAGAGGTAAGACTTTCCCTCTTTGACATTGGAAGTGTCTCTGACAAACTATATTTTCATGAGAATGCCACATGACATTTTTTAATTTACATTCAAAGACACTAGACTGCATGTCAGTCTGTCTAAATGGAAGACAATAAGGAATTGCTTATTTCCATAGCCTGAATTTTTTCTGACGTGTGCTGACTGAATATGTATTTTTCTACAGGTACAAGGTTAGCACCTTTCCTCTGGCCAAGCAGCTCCCCTCATTGGTGCTTTTCCAGTCAGGGCGGGAGGTCATGAGACGTCCAATGGTGGACAATAAGTGTCAAGCTGTGTCCTGGACTTTCAGCAAGGTGTGTGTTGTGGGGAATCTTCGGTCTGTGTGGGGGCTTGTGTGTGTGTGACTTGATGAAGTGTGTAAATGGCTTTAGGTCCCCACTTACATAACCGTGTGTCTCATTCACGTCTAGGAAAACATAATCCGTGAATTCAACCTGAACGAGCTCTTCGAGGCATCTAAGATAAAGAAGGGTCGTGGTGTGAAAGGAGAGGACCAGAACCCCTCACTACCAGAGGAGAGCAGCGAAGAGCCCCAACCTGAACCAGACACCACAGCAGAGAGCAAGAAAGACCAGTAGTGACGAAGGGACAACAGGGACTGGATTGTTCTACTGCACACAGTTCACTGGTCGTCACACAATCAGTCTCTCGGTTATCACTGGTTGTATTACCAGACTACCAGGATTCGCGTTAATTCAAGAGCTCGGGCTCGTGGCAAAGCTGCTGCACGCCAACAAAAAGGGACAGAATGAGATTCACTACATGACCAAAAGCATGTGGACACCTGCTCGTCGAAAATCTAATTCCAAAATCATGGGCATCAAAATTGGAGTTGGTCCCCCCTTTGCTGCTATAACAGCCTCCACTCTTCTGGGAAGGCTTTCCACTAGATATTGGAACATTGCTGCGGGGACTTGCTTGAATTCAGGGCTCTGTGCAGGCCAGTCAAGTTCTTCCACACCGATCTCGACAAACCATTCCTGTATGGACCTCGCTTTGTGCACGGGGGCATTGTCATGCTGAAACAGGAAAGGGGCTTCCCCAAACTGTTGTCACAAAGTTGGAAGCACAGAATCATCTAGAATGTCATTGTATCCTGTAGTGTTAAGATTTCCCTTCACATGAAAAACAGCCCCAGAACATTATTCCTCCTCCAACAAACTTTACAGTTGGCACTATGCATTCGGGCAGGTAGCGTTCTCCTGGCATACGCCACACCCAGATTTGTCAGTCGGAATGCCAGATGAAGCGTGATTCATCACTCCAGAGAGCGCGTTTCCATTGCACCAGAGTCCAATGGCGGCGAGGTTTACACCACTCCAGCCGACGCTTGGCATTGTGCATGGTGATCTTAGGCATGCGTGCGGCTGCTTGGCCATGGAGACGAACAGTTCTTGTGCTGACATTGCTTCCAGAGGAAGTTTGGAACTCAGTAGTGAGTGTTGCAACCGAGAACAGGCGATTTTTACACGCTTCAGCACTCGGCGGTCCCGTTTTGTGAACTTGTGTGGCCTACCACTTGACGGCTGAGCTGTTGTTGCTCCTAGAAGTTTCCACTTCACAATATCAGCGCTTACAATTGACCAGGGCAGCTCTAACACCAGTCAGCAACGGATGTCACTGAAATAGCTAAATCCACTAATTTGAAGGGGTGTCCACATACACAAAAGTATCTAAACGAAAATATCTAACCGTCCCAATTATCGATGCCTTCAATTATTGAAGTGAAAATGCCTTACACTGCCGTCTCACTCATTCATCCATATTAGTTTTACTGTGACTGTAGTGAGTTTGTTTACTTGTTTTTTTTCATGTTCTGATGCCTTTTGGGTCACATTTTAAACACCAAAGTATGGAGTCAAACTGACAGTTGGTATAATCTGTTCTGCCAAAAGTGAAATAAAACTTTTATCCTCCCAGACCCCTCCCATACTCTCTTGGCTGATTTTTGATTGAAGACAGACACGTTTTCCCATCAGGTTGACCTTTTAATCTGAGAAGACCTCTTTAAAAACCTCTTCATAAGGCCATTTTGGAACTATCATTGCAGATATTTGTGACACTCTTTCCATTCAGTACAGCTTACAACAATATTATTCTAATTTACTAATGTATATTCAGTTATTCACCACCAAAGTAACACAGTCAGACTTTCTCCAGTCCTGTATGTCTGACTGTTTGTGCCATTATGATGCTTAACTATTGTCATCACACATCAACCAGGTGTGCATTTGGCAAGGATATTCTCACTCACACACACACACACACACACACACACTGGGATACTTTCAACACAACACACATAAACATATACTCATGACGAGGGGGACGCATACATCGTTTTTATGTCATTTAGCAGATGCTCTTATCCAGAGCGATTTACAGTTAGTGAGTGCATACATTTTCATACTGGTCCCCCGTGGGAATCAAACCCACAACCCTGGCGTTGCAAGCGCCATGCTCTACCAACTGAGCTACAGTTTACATACACCTTAGCCAAATACATTTAAACTAAGTTTTTCACAATTCCTGACATTTAATCCTAGTAAAAATTCCCTGTCTTAGGTCAGTTAGAATCACCACTTAATTTTAAGAATGTAAAATGTCAGAATAATAGTAGAGAGAATGATTTATTTCAGCTTTTATTTATTTCATCACATTCCCAGTGGGTCAGAAGTTTACATACACTCAATTAGTATTTGGTAGCATTGCCTTTAAATTGTTTAACTTGGGTCAAACGTTTTGGGTAGCCTTCCACAAGCTTCCCACAATAAGTGCATTTTGGCCCATTCCTCCTGACAGAGCTGGTCAGGTTTGTAGGCCTCCTTGCTCGCACATGCCTTTTCAGTTCTGCCCACAAACCTTCTATAGGATTGAGGTCAGGGCTTTGTGATGGCCACTCTAATACCTTGACTTTGTTGTCCTTAAGCCATTTTGCCCCAACTTTGGAAGTATGCTTGGGGTCATTGTCCATTTGGAAGACCCATTTGCGACCAAGCTTTAACTTCCTGACTGATGTCTTGAGATGTTGCTTCAATATATCCACATAATTTTCATTCCTCCTGATACCATCTATTTTGTGAAGTGCACCAGTCCCTCCTGCAGCAAAGCACCTCCACAGCATGATGCTGCCACCCCCGTTCTTCACGGTTGGGATGGTGTTCTTCGGCTTGCAAGCAACCCCCTTTTTCCTCCAAATATAACAATGGTCATTATGGCCAAACAGTTCTATTTTTGTTTCATCAGACCAGAGAACATTTCTCCAAAAAGTACAATCTTTGTCCCCATGTGCAGTTGCAAACCGTAGTCTGGCATTTTTATGGCGGTTTTGTAGCAGTGGTTTCTTCCTTGCCAAGCGGCCTTTCAGGATATGTCAATATAGGACTTGTTTTACTGTGGATATAGATACTTTGGTACCTGTTTCCTCCAGTATATTCACAAGGTACTTTGCTGTTGTTCTGGGATTGATTTGCACTTTTCGCACCAAAGTACGTTCATCTCTAGGAGACAGAACGCATCTCCTTCCTGAGCGGTATGAATGCTGCGTGGTCCCATGGTGTTTATACTTGCATACTATTGTTTGTACAGATGATCGTGGTACCTTCAGGCATTTGGAAATTGCTCCCAAGGATGAACCAGACTTGTGGAGGTCTACAATAATTTTTCCGAGGTCTTGGCTTATTTCTTTTGATTTCCCCATGATGTCAAGCAAAGAGGCACTGAGTTTGAAGATAGGCCTTGAAATACAGCCACAGGTACACCTCCAATTGATTCAAATGATGTCAATTAGCCTATCAGAAGCTTCTAAAGCCATGACATCATTTTCTGGAATTTTCCAAGCTGTTTAAAGGCACAGTCAACTTACTGTATGTAAACCTCTGACCCACTGGAATTGTGATACAGTGAATTATAAGTGAAATAATCTGTCTTTAAACAATTGTTGGAAAAATTACTTGTGTCATGCACAAAGTAGATGTCCTAACCGACTTGCCAAAACTATAGTTTGTTAACAAGAAATTTGTGGAGTGGTTGAAAAACGAGTTTTAATGACTCCAACCTAAGTGTATGTAAACTTCCGACTTCAACTGTACATGCATACATACATACATACACTGACTGGCCATGCTGCTGTATGATTGGTTGGTAGGATAGCCTAGTTTGTGTGCTTCAGATGCGTCAGAAAATAAAATGTGCTACATTCAGCTAGCTTTGACATTGCAACTCTCGTAGGTTTGGATTAAACATAAACATACCACCACCTCTCACCCACACACTCCTGACATACCTCATTGTGTTTCTGACCATGCCTTCCTAAACCTATTTGTGGGCAAAATGTTAACTGTACCTTAAAGAGATTCAAAATAACAAAGAAAATCAAGAAGCCAGAATATCTACAAAACAAACTAAAATATAACATTCTTATCTGGCTGTAGTCGTAAGAAATAGTGTAAAATAAAATGCTTAGTTTGACTACAAATGGTCTCAAGGCAAAAACCGATCAAAACAGTCCTCAATTTCAAACCAACCCCTTCATCCACTCCCCCTCACATCCCCTAGACATATCATACATTAACAATCAGACGTTACTACAGAATATCTAGATTTACACCATATTATCCTAGAAAATAGAACCACTCCCCAGAATTTGATTTGTTGGAATTGTCCAAGTACATTAGAATCTAAGGACAAGGCACTATGACAGGGATGTGGGCTCTGGGTTATAAATTACCCTTCTGAGAACAGATCTAGGTTAATCTTACCCTCCCTAGTCCTAACCTTAACCATTAGGGGCAAAAAGCCCCATTATGTAGGGGCAACTTCATCCAACTCTAGGACGTAGAGATCGGTTTGGAATTGTGTTAAGAGCGCAAAGGTTTTCCTGTCTGGTAAAATAAATAAGCCCCTCCCACCCTAAACCCATTTGGCTGGACATCTTTATAAGGTTTTTCTAGCATTTGATTGCCAGAAAACATTGCGAACATGAAAAGGACAATCATTTAAAGCTACAAACAGAGAATTTGAATAATGTATCAATAATAAACATTTCTAGTGTACATTCCACAAAGAGGCTTGTGCTGTATTTATGATCAGAATTTCAATTCTCTTTGTGGCTTTCAACATCCTCAGTGATAGGTCACTTCAGCTGTCCGTCAGAGAGGATCATCAATCACTTTGGATGAGAATTCCAGCGAGATTGATGACTGGCTGAAGCAGCCATCAATCAAAACAAGCGACCAGTCTAACTCACTCAAATTAACAGTTTGTCACAAAGCAACAAAAAAAACCGATATCTTCATCATCTGACCAGCTGACCCAATAATTCGTAAATATTTTTTAGACATTTATATAAAACAATTAAAAAACAAAAGCTTTATTTATAAAACTAAAATTAAATTGTTTGTAGGGGTTGAGGCATCATCTCTGCACGGTCTTTGAAAAATCACTGCAGACTAATTAATTAGTCACTACTGTGGAGTGGTGATCCATTGTGATTGGTCCATCCATATGATGGGGCAGGAAGTCTCGAACCACGGAGTGCCACAATTGGTCACCAGTCCATACACTCCCTCTCAGGCTCCATACTGATTGGTTAAAAAGCCCTACTTACATCCAGGATTATATTTTATCGCATAAATTCTCCATGTGCTAATGTACCAAAACAAATCATATTTTTATATAAGTGTTATAGAGAGAGTTTAGTACCCAGCAGTCATAATAACGTTCATGTTATACAGTCTATGGCTCACAGAGAGGCCGAGGTAAGGTTGTCCCATTCCAACACTGATCAACATTGAGTTCCACTTCAGTTGCCATTCTATATAAAGATGGCCAGTGGCATTATAAGGATACGAAGGTCATTGAAGTTCCAGTGAGCCAACACACTTCTATTCCACTATCCAACTCCATATTGACCAAGAGGAGAGTATAGTCCATTCATTGTGTGGGTGCATTTTAGTGAATATCCATCTTGAAGTCCGTCAGAGTAAGAAAATTGGAATCTGTCCAGTGGAACAATCTTCTTTCTATCATTGGCCGGGGCGGACGTCTGTCACTCAAACCGATATCTCATAGGTTGTCCCTCCGACGCCAGTCACCTTTTTCACCCCGCCCCCTGGTTTGGATGTGCTGTGATTGGCAAAGCCTGGGCGAGAGGTGGATCTAATTGGATAGCCGGCAGGAAAAGGGGAGGGGGTTAAGGATGCAGATAGGGGTGGCAGAGGGAGTGAGAGAGGAGGTGAGTAGATCTGATAAAACATATACTGTAATAACAAGACTTATGATAAGGTTACAAGAGTAGAAGGCTCATTAGAGGGGAGGAAAAGGGTACAGAACAGACAGGAGTGAGAAAACAGTAGCATGCTAAACTGCTCGTGCTAACAAACACAATCACCTCTGTTTCACACCTAAACACATACTTGCCTCTATATGAAGTCGACAAACTTCAAACACAGATATACATCCTACTACAGTTATACCTGAGCATAGTTCTTATACACATTAAAAACACACTCCAGCATAAACACTCACTGATATCTAGAGGAGGAAAAGACTCACACTGATCAGGGAGGAAGAGGAGGGCTCACATAGATAAATCAGGGAGGAAGAGGAAGAGTACCAGGCTTGCGGCTCAGATCTCTACTCACTGTGGAGCCTGTGTCCCTCCAATTCCGCCCCCTCCCGACAAACCACCTCCTCCCATTGGCCGGGCCTTGTGCTGGAGCCCTGCCTCTCGGGTGTAGGAGAGGGACTGACCCAGGGAGGGGCCTCGGGGTGGAGGGGACACAGGGGGCTCAGGGGAACGGGCACGGGCACGGGGGGAGGGCTGTTCAGAGACGGGAGGAAGGGGGCGAGAGGAGGAGGCTCGGAGGTGTGGGTGTCTGGGGTCCTGGTGGAGGAGGTGTGGGTGTCTGGTGTCCTGGTGGAGGAGGTGTGGGTGTCTGGTGTCCTGGTGGAGGAGGTGTGGGTGTCTGGTGTCCTGGTGGAGGAGGTGTGGGTGTCTGGTGTCCTGGTGGAGGAGGTGCAGTGTCTCGGGGTGGGCAGCGTGTGGGGAAGGAGTCGGCGGGGGCGGGCTGATGGCGCGGAGGTACGCCCTGTGGGGGGAGGAGAAAGAGGCAGAGCCCTGGAGCAGCTGGCCCTCCCTCTGCTGGGCCATCTGTGCAGAGAGGAAGGGCGAGGTGTACCCCTGCAGGGGCGCATCCCCAACCCCGGGCAGCGAGGAGGTCGTCGTTGCCAGGGGAAACGCTGCGGTGGCGTGGGGCTTCTGGGGGGACAGCTCATGAGCGGCCGATTCAAACTCTGGGCTCTCGGACGGTGTCAGCAGGCTGTCGTAGGACAGGCTGCCGTTCCGAGGTGTCTGATTGGCCAGGCTCTTGTAGCTGGTGTCGGTGGTGCCCTCTGATTGGAGCGTGCCCAGAGTATTGTGGTGTGTGTGGGCGGAGCGCATGCTGGAGGAGAGGGAGTCACCGGTGGACAAGACCAGAGAGGAGGGGTAGGAAGTGTACGACCGCCCCCCTAGGGAGTACTCGGAGATGCCCCCCAAGACGCCCCCACCTGTCCCACTGGTTACCCCGGGGCCCTCGCCCTTCTCCCCTCCCCCTCTACGCGCCCCCACACCTATTATCGACCCCCCATCCAGGGTGCTGGGCTCAGACCGATAGCTGGGCTGGCAACTCGACTGGAGGATGGAGGGAGAGTCAAGACTGTCCCCACTAATCATCTGGAGAGAGAAGAAAGAGCGAGAGAGGAGGAGAAGATAAGAATAGGAGAGAAGAGCAGAAAGAGGTAGTGAAGGTAAAATGAAGAGAGTGAAGGAGGATGGGAACGTATGTTACAAAGGGATTACTTTGAGGAGACATTCCTCAACAGAAGACAACACAGACGTTTCTACAGAACACCGTTTCTACAGAGAGCCAGCAGGGGAGGATGGAGTACCAGAACACGAACCTTGCAAAATAACATTAGCACCACAACAGAAACATAGAAATCTATAAAAAACAGGCATTCAAGTAAATGCAGAGTCGGGGGGAAGTAAAGTCACAAGGATACACCTTTTTACAGACATAAACGAACACACGACACTGAGACTTACTGATCAACCGATGGCCACTGAGTGATCAATTCAGAGTAAAAGAAAGAGGGGGATGGAGTTAAGCACAAAGGAAAGAAGAAAAGCCAGGACCTCAGAGAGGGGTCTCTGCTAGTCCCACCTGGATGCCCTAGGCTTAATCCCACCTAACCTTCTATAGCTGATCTATCAACTGATTTGACCCTGTGTTTAGTATGAGATTATAAACTAAAGCAGTAGCTATGTCTCAGGGAAGGGATCTCATGGTGGCTGTCATCTCAAATGTTAAAGGTCGGCACTGCGTAAGAAACATGTATACACTCCCCTCCATATGTATTTGGACAGTGTAGCTAAAATGTTACATTTGTCTATACTCCAGCATTTTGGATTTGAGAACAAATGTTTCATATGAGGCGACAGTACAGAACTTGTATTTGATGGTATTTTCGTACATATCTGTTTGACCATTTAGAAATGAAAGCACTTTATATCTAGTCCCCCATTTTAAGATGTCATAAGTTTTTGGACAAAATTCACTTATAGTGTATTAAAGTAGTCTAAAGTGTAATATTTAGTCCCATATTCCCTGCACACAATGCCTACATCAAGCTTGTGACTTTACAAATTAGTTGGATGCATTTGCAGCTTGTTTTGGTTCTGTTTCAGATTATGCTTTGCCTAATAGCAAGTGAATGGTGAATAAAGTGCTTTCATTTCTAAACGGTAAAACAGTTATGTATGAACATACCCTCAAATAAATAGGTGACATTTTGTACTGCCACTTCACATGATAAAAAAATAAATAATGCAAATCCCAAATGCTGGAGTATAGAGCCAAATGTAACATTTTAGCTTCACCGTCCAAATACATACGGAGTACAGCCAGGACGATACCAGTATTGCGATACTCGTTAATATCATGGCAAGGAAACAAAACATTATTGGCATGTAAAAAAATATTGCGATACTGGTATCGTCACAGCCCTAATACGGAGGGGAATGTATGCATGTGTATGTATGTGTGTGCATGCGTGCGTACCTTGTTTGGGTGTGTCAGAGCGGTGTGGTTCCTCTGTGGGCTGCTATAGGCCGGCCGGTACTTGTACATAGAGGGAGTGGGCGGACCTTCAGACAGCAAGCTGCTCTCTGATTGGAGGAAAAAAACAACAGCGTTAAAAACTAGACAGCGTCGTCTGGGTGGGATTCGTGAGTGCTTGTGTGTGTTCACTGCTCACCCTCGGTGTCAGCGCGGGGCAGGCCAGGGTAGCGGAGCTCCGGTTTGGGAGGAGGTGGAGGCTCTGCGTCGGCTGACTGGCTCTCCATCTGCTCTAAACTGCTCTTAGACTGACAGGGACAGGAAGGGACAAGACATTTCATACACATGAGAGACAGCTATGAGTTTATTTTATATCTGTGTGTGTGTGTACCCTGGTGCTGTGGCAGTCGTTCTGGATGCCGTTGTCCAGGACTTTGGCTTCTAGCTGGGCGGAGGAGAGAGGAGGGCGGAGGAAGGGAGGCTGCACCTCCGCTGTCTGTTTGCCCCGCCACCGCTCCACATACCTGACAGAGATAGCAAAACACACATGAATGACTTCCCTGAAACGTTCCACTGAAACATACACCAACTTCACACTACATTACACACATCAATTGTTAGATATATTACTTAGTTAACCACCATAACACAGGCTACACTGAGTTCCCCTGAGGGTCTTGTTCAACCATAAGCTGCAACAGCAGAAGAAAAGAGGAGGCATGAAGGAGAGACGGTCGCTAACCTGGGAGCCTGAGCGCTACAGAGCACGTGTGAGATGTTCCTCAGACAGCCATTGGTGAAAGGGTTAACTCCGCCCCTAAACTTCCCTGTGACCTAGAGAGAGAGAGAGAGAGAGAGATGGTCTATTTTTAGATAATCCGGATCATGTCAGTCATCTCAGAGGAAAACACACTAAGACCCACACCCAGATAGACAGGCGTACCTGCTCGTTAGTGGTCCTACCCCGAGCTACCAGTACCATGTGGAAACCAGTAAGACCTGCTACTGGTATGAAGAAGAGGCCAGCAACACACATTGTAGCCATACTGGGAACACACAGTCAAGGACACCAAAACCAGAGCAACAAGTGTGTGTGTGTGTGTGTGTGTGTGTGTGTGTGTGTGTGTGTGTGTCTATAAGGATACGTGACAGCGGAGTGAACCCTGTCCAGCTGGTGCTGGTGGTGGAGGACGTAGAGCAGGCCGAAGCCGAACACACCCATGATGTGGATCGTCAGCGACAACAGGAACAGAAAGAAGTGACGGTAGTTTCTGCGCCCAATACAGTTGTTCACCCACGGACAGTGGTGGTCAAAGTCCTGCCAGGTCACACACAGGTCAAACGGCGTGTAAAAGGGTCAACAGAGAAAAAATTAAATAACTGATATATTTGATATTTATATTGCTGCTTCCGACAACTTGTTACAACACAGTTGTCACCCGTCATACCACGTGTAGTGTGAGCAGGGTGGCAGTCTGGAGAAGTGTGTGTTTACCTCCACACAGTTGTCACACACAGAGCAGTGTGAGCAGCGGGGCGGTCTGTAGAAGCGGCAACTTGAACACCACTTCATCCGGACCTGAATGCCCTTGATATCCACTGTCTTATAGAGCGGAGCGCGGAAATCATCCTCTTTATCCTCATCCTCATCCGCTGTGAACACACACACACAACTTACACACTGAAACACACCTTTTTCACACCTAAGTAATTTATCTTTAACACACTCTCCTTACCTCTGGGAAAGACCCCTGGGTCCATAAAGGTGGCCATGCAGAAGTTGGCGAAAGTGAAGAGGAAGACCACAGCGTTATAGATGGGAATGACGGAGGAGACATGCTCTGACAACCACGGACACCTGGAGGGAGAGAGGGATGGGGGGAGAGAGAGATACAGAGATATAACATGAAATCTAGTGTGTGTGTGTGTGTGTGTGTGTGTGTGTGTGTGTCTTACTCACGTGAAGCAGAAGAAGAGTGTGGTGGAGGCGACCAGGAAGGTGGTTGCCGCGGAGACGGGTACATAGCGACTGGGGTGGAACCGGCGGGGAGAAGAAGAGGCGGGGCCACCCACTTCCCCCCCTAGCCCCCCACTACTAAACCCCGGCATCAGAGGGAGGGAGGGAGGGAGGGAGGGAGGGAGGGAGGGAGAGAGAGAGGTAGAAGGGTGGTGGAAGGGTCAGAGGGAAGACCTCAGCGTCCGTATGGGATAAGGGGGCATGATGGTCTTAGGTACCAGCACTAGTAATATTACACAAAGCAGCCATTTGGGAGAAACATCTTACAGAAAGCTAGCCAGTTATTTGCACTTCAGCCAATAAAACCACTTAAAAACTAAAAGAATGACTTTATAGTAAAGTCTACACCTTTGTTTGCATGTGTGTAGATCTTTGCAGGTATATATAGATTATATACATTTTATACATCTTTTAAAAACTATACCATATTATGATACAAAAATAATGCGACTTTTATAAATATTTCTGTATGGCTTTCATGTAACCTTATTTGGTTCAACAATATAAATAAAACTCAAGAAAATCTCTCCTGTCTAGTGCAACAAAGACCCACAAGCGCACACACAATTAACTGCTTTAACAACCACTTTCTGACCTGGTGAGACAACAAACCAATCCTCCACAGGCATCGAAAACTATCAATACTCATCAGCGATTACTCTGTGCTTGAGTGTTAAGAGTTTATTTACAAACTCTCTTGTAAAGGAAATGTGAGGAAAAGGGGGGTGGAAATTAGGAGGTAGTAACAGAACATCCTATAAAAACAGCAGAACAGGGTTCTCTAGCAGAGCAGTGACCATCGACTGAACTCTGGTCTTATAAAAGGTGTATCTAGGCACTGAATGTGTGTTTGTGAGTTTGTGTGATAGAGAAAAGTGTGACAGAATGCTTGCAAAGGAGAGAGTTCCAGGCTCTATATCCTGCGGAGGCAGCCGTTGAGAAAACAACAAAAATCTCAATTTTAAGCCAGTCTTAAAGCTGCCCAGCAAAAATCCAAGTCCACTTGCAGCTTTTTCAAACATTAAAACGTGTACACAAAAGCTATTTCAAATGTTTTATCCACTATTTCAGTACTCTGTCAGTATGAGAGAGCGGTGAGATCAGTCTCGTTGGGTCAACTGGACCAATTAGCTGTTTATCTAGCCATTTGTTTCAGTCTTTGTGACAGTGCAGGTAAAATCAATTCATCACAAACAAAGCCCAAATCTGTGTCGCCACGGTTTTGCCGTAGACACGCCTCTTTTCCCATGATGCCTTTGAAATGGAGCCACACAGAAAGAAGAATAAGCCACTCCGACAACTGCAGGTCCACTTCTTTCTCTCCCTCCCTCTATTTATTTGCACACGCTCCAGTGTTCTGTCACACACTGTTGTTGTCTAAGATGGCACCCCCTGAAACAGAAAGAAACGGAAAGCATGTTACACAACTACTAGATTACATCAATAACATTAAACAACACTACAAACTTAAACCATTAGTAATTACACACACACACACACACAAAACCTCACACCATCACTAACACAAATGCAGCCATGAAAAAGCTAGTAGTGTTGCAAGGTATGACAATAATATGTTCTTTACATGGCTAGTTGTTGCAAGCCAGAGCAGAATTGTGTATGTCTAGGGAGTGGCAGGTTGTGTTGAAACCTGACCATTTTGTCAACTCTACTCCATCTTCATTTCACAACAATGACTAACCAGGAAAAGGGTGTCTAAAAGCGTATCTTTCCTTCTTACACACAAACACAACCTCTCTTGCACTCTCTCTCTCACACACACACAATGGTATTCATAACAGAGCCCTCTTATCCACACAGATCTCATGTAACACCTGAGGGAAAACTCCTGTTCCATTAAAACACTGAAAACAGATCCTAGGTAATAGAGAGCAATAGTACCTGGCCGTGTGGTGCCAGGATAACAACCTCTCCCTCAACGTGACCAAGACAAAGGAGATGATTGTGGACTACAGGAAAAAAAAAGAGGACTGAGCACGCCCCCATTCTCATCGACGGGTCTGTAGTGGAACAGGTTGAGAGCTTCAAGTTCCTTGGTGTCCACATCACCAACGAACTATCATGGTCCAAACACACCAAGACAGTCGTGAAGAGGGCACGACAAAGCCTATTCCCCCTCAGGAGACTGAAAAGATTTGGCACGGGTCCTCAGATCCTCAAAAAATTCTACAGCTGCACCATCGAGAGCATCCTGACTGGGTGCATCACCACCTGGTATGGCAACTGCTTGGCCTCCGACCGCAAGGCACTACAGAGGGTAGTGCGAACGGCCCAGTACATCACTGGGGCCAAGCTTCCTGCCATCCAGGACCTCTATACCAGGCGGTGTCAGAGGAAGGCCCTCAAAATTGTCAAAGACTCCAGCCACCCTAGTCATAGACTGTTCTCTCTGCTACCGCACGGCAAGCGGTACCGGAGTGCCAAGTCTAGGTCCAATAGACTTCTCAACAGCTTCTACCCCCAAGCCATAAGACTCCTGAACAGCTAATCATGGCTACCCAGACTATTTGCACTGCCCTCCCACCCCATCTTTTTATGCTGCTGCTACTCTGTTAATTATTTATGCATAGTCACTAACTCTACCCACATGTACATATTACTTCAACTACCTCAACTAGCCGGTGCCCCCGCACATTGACTCTGCACCGGTACCCCCCTGTATATATAGCCTCCCTACTGTTATTTTACTTCTGCTCTTTTTTTCTCAACACTTTTTTGTTGTCGTTTTATTTTTACTTTTTTATAAAAAAGAAATGCACTGTTGGTTAAGGGTTGTAAGTAAGCATTTCACTGTAATGTCTGCACCTGTTGTATTCGGTGCAAGTGGCCAATAACATTTGATTTGATTTGATTAGTAATGGCGTGTTTTTTAGGCCCTAATTCTTACTGTGGAATGCAGAGTTTGGTTTTCGCCAGGCATAAATGGGACCCATCTCGTCCAAAGAGTTGACTCAAGTTTGCCAAAAAGCACCTGGATGATCAACAAGACTCTTGGAAGAACGTTCTATGGACAGATGATTCAAAAGTATAACTTTTTGGACGACATGGTTCCAGTAATGCCTGGCGAAAACCAAACTCTGCATTCCACAGTAAGAACATCATACCAAAGGTCAAGCATGGTGGTGGTGGTGTGATGGTTTGGGGTTGCTTTGCTGCCTCAGGACCTGGACGACTTGCCTTAATAGAAGGAACCATGAAATCTGCTCTGTATCAGAGAATTCTACAGGAGAATGTCAGACCATCCGTCTGTGAGCTGAAGCTGAAGCGCAGCAAGACAATGATCCAAAACACACAATCAAGTATACATGAAAATTGCTAAAAAGCAACAAATTGGAAGTTTTGGAATGGCCTAGTCAAAGTCCAGACCTAATCCCAATTGAGATGTTGTGGCAGGACTTGAACCGAGCAGTTCATGCTTGAAAACCCACACGTCACTGAGTTAAAGCAGTTCTGCATGGAAGAGTGGGCCAAAATTCCTCCACAGCGACGTGAGAGACTGATCAACAACTACAGGAAGCATTTGGTTGGAGTCATTGCAGCTAAAGGTGGCACACCCAGTTATTGAGTGTAAGGGGGCAATTACTTTTTCACACAGGGGAATTTGGTGTTGCATAACTTTGTTTATGAAATAAATATGTTATTATTGTGTTATTTGTTCACTTATGTTCCCTTCATCTAATATTAGGTTTTGGTTGAAGATCTGATAACATTCAGTATCACAAATATGCAAAAGTAGAGAAAATTAGAAAGGGGGCAAATACTTTTTCATAGCACTGTATGTCATCACACTGCATATGAGTCACTCATGATTTGAAACGCAATCAAGCATTTTCATTATAAAATAAAGCGACCCTTGAATAATTAGCATATACAATAAATAAACTCTTCCATTTCAGAAATTGCATTCACGAATGAATGTGACTGTTTAGACTTTGCTGTAATAAAGGCTTTACAAAAACACATTACAACAGACTCTCTGGTAGGCTTATAATTTATTTAGTGTTGTTTACATTATTCCAAACGGTCAGAAATGTTTTATTGTAATCTAACAGCACCTGTTTGGCACACATGGTCCTCTGTAGCTCAGCTGGTAGAGCACGGCGCTTTAAACGCCAAGGTAGTGGGTTCGATCCCCGGGACCACCCATACACAAAAATGTATGCACGCATGACTGTAAGTCGCTTTGGATAAAAGCGTCTGCTAAATGGCATATTATTATTATTTATATTATGACGCAGCGCTTGCTCCTTACCTTCTTTTTTTTTTATCTCCAGTATTTTCCACAACTTGTCAAATTTATTCCACACATCATTCCCCTTTAGCTCCTGAGCAACTAGTAAACATTCCCCCGTTTTGAGTTTATTGGTCACGTCCTCTGCATCCATTTTGCTGTTCAGAGTGTGTTATAACCAATTTATTGATGTGATTATGATATGCTATAGGCCAGGCCCTATTGATCACGTGCATGCAATGCATACATGTCACTTAAAAGAGAGCTAGGGTTGAGGGAGTTATTACTAAACAAATAACTTTTCAGTCAGAAATGGCTGTAATTATGTTGCAGCTTCAGCAACATGGACAGCGCAATAAACACTGTCGAAGTTCTGTAGTGGTCGCTGCAGCATGGAGGAGAGAGAGACAACGGGTGCTAGTCACACAGTCACTTGCTATCATTTTTATTAACACAGCACACCAAGTCTGAGCACAAACAAATCAATTGCGGTCGGACTCCCTC